TATTTCTTTGCTTGTGTTGAGGAATGTTTTTTCTTTTTCTTTTTTTAAAAATTTATTTGACAGGTTAAGTTATAGAGAGTGATAGAGAGAGACAGAGAGAAAGGTCTTCCTTTTCCATTGGTTCACCCCCAAACTGACCGCTACAGCCAGCACACTGCACTGATCCAAAACCAGGAGCCAGGTGCTTCTTCATGGTCTCCCATGCAGGTGCAGGGGCCCAAGAATTGGACCATCCTCCACTGCCCTCCTGGGCCACAGCAGAGAGCTGGACTAGAAGAGAAGCAACCGGGACCAGAACCTAGCACCCATATGGGATGCCTGGTCCACAGGCAGAGAATTAACCAAATGACCCATGGCACTGGCCCCTGGAATGTTTTTTCTATACCCAATTTGCTTAAGATTATTATCATGAAAGTATGTTGTAGTTTTATCAAGTACCTTCTCTGAATCAATTGAGATAGTCATATAGTTTTTAATCTTCAATTTGTTAATGTGATATATCACATTTATTTATTTGTTATGTTGAACCATCCTTGCATACCACCAATAAATCCCAAAAGATCTAGGTGAATAATATTTCTGATACATTGTTTAATTTGATTAGCTAGCATCTTATTATGAATTTTTGCCTCTGAGATCATCAGAGATATTGGTTTATTGTACTTTTTCTTTGAGTACATTTTCCTGGTTTTGAAATTAAGGTGAGTCTGGTTTCATAGAAGAGGCTCAATTTGGAAGGATAGCCTGCCTTTCAATTGTTTTGAATAGTTTGAAAGTAACATGACTTAGTTATTCTTTAAAAGTTTGATGGAAATCAGCGATGAAGCTATCAGGTCCTGGGCTTTTCTTTTCTGGGAGAGTCCTTATTACTGATTCAATCTCTGACTTGGTTATTGTCTATTTACGTTTTTTACATCTTTCTGCATCAATTTTGGTTGATTGTGTCCATTAATGTTTCCATTTCTTCTAGATTTTCCTATTTGTTGGCATAAGGCTGTTTGTAGTAATTTCTGGGATTCTTTTTATTTCTGCAGTATCTCTTGTAGCATATCATTTTTTTAAAGATTTTTTTATTTATTTGCAACAGTTACACAGAGAGAGGAGAAGCACAGAGATAGAGAGAGGTCCTCTATCAGATTGTTCACTCCCCAATTGTCTGCAACGGCCAGAGCTGTGCTGATCCAAAGCCAGGAGCCAGGAGCTTCCTTTGGGTCTCCCATGCAGTTGCAGGGGCCCAATCACATGGGCCATTTTCCACTACTTCCCCAGGCCACAGCACAGAGCTGGATTGGAAGTGAAGTAGCCGGGATCAAACCAGCTTCCATATGGGATGCTGGTGCTTCAAACCAGGGTATTAACTTGCTGTGATACAGCATCCGCCCCAGCATATACTTTTTCATCTCTGATTTTTTTTTTGACAGGCAGAGTTAGACAGTGAGAGAGAGAGACAGAGAGAAAGGTCTTCCCTCCGTTGGTTCATTCCCCAAATGACCACTATGGCCAGCATGCTGCACCAATCCAAAACCAGGAACCAGGTGCTTCCTCCTGGTCTCCCATGCAGGTGCAGGGCCCAAGCACTTGGGCCATCCTCCACTGCCTTCCCAGGCCACAGCAGAGAGCCGGACTGGAAGAGGAGCAACCGGGACAGAATCTGCCACCCCAACTGGGACTAGAACCTGGGGTGCCAGTGCCGCAGGCAGAGGATTAGCCTAGTAAGCCACGTCACTGGCTTCATCTCTGCTTTTATTATTTTGGATTTTATCTCTTTATGGCTAGTTGGGCCATTGGTGCATCAATTTTATTTTTTCAAAAATTCAACTTTTCATTTCAGAGATCATTTGTACCTATTTTTGGTTTGGGGGTTTCAAATTTGTTTATTTCTTCCCTAATTTTCATTATTTTTTTCATACTACTAATTTCAGGTTTGCTTTATTCTTGTTTTTTTCAGGTCATTGAGATGCATTTTTCAATCACTTATTTGATGCTTGTCTAATTTTTCAGGGTAGCACTAATTTCTACAAACTTCTCTCATACTTCCACTTTTGTGTACTAAATTTTGAAGTGTTGTCATCTTCACCCATTTCAATGAATTTTTTTCATTTTTTATTTCTTTTATGACCCACTCTTCATTCATGAGCATGTTTTTTTAGACTTTACTTGTTTGCATATTTTCTATAGTTTTTTTATATTGTTAATTCCAGCTTCATCCCACTGGGTTCAGAAAAGATATATGGTATGATCTCAGTTTTTTTAATTTGTTGAGACTTGTTTTATGGGCTAGCATATGGTCTACTTTTGAGAAAGTTCCATTCACTGATGAAAAGAATATGTATTCTGCAGCTATTTTATGAAATGTCCTGTAGATATCAATTAGGACTATTTGATCCACAAATTAGATTAGTGCTGTTGTTTCTTTGTTGATTTTTTTTTTTCAGTTGATCTGTTCATTGATGAAAGTGCAATGTTAAAATCACCTAATATTATTGTACTGATGTCTCTGTCTCTTTTTAGACCCTTAATATTTGTTTTAAATTGCCAGGCACCATGGTATCGGTGATATATATTTACTGCAGGCACATCTTCCTTTTCAATTGGTCCCTTAATAATTGCACAAAGCCCTTCTTTGTTTCTTTTAACAATTTTTCTGTTTATTTTGTGTGATATTACAATTGCTGTTCCTGCTTGTTTTACTTTCTGATATCATGAAGACCTTTAATCTTTCACTTTCAATCTGAGTATCTTTGTGGTGATGTGTGTTTCTTGTACATAACAGATAGCTGAGTTTTCTTTGATATGTATCTGAGTTTCCACTGACCTGTATCTTTTAATTGGATAATTTAGGCTACTTACATTCAAAGTTATAATTTATAAGTAATGACCAGGTCTTACCATTTTTCCATAAATATTTCTATTATTTGCTTTGGAATTCCAAGTCTCCGCCTGCAATGTTGGCATCCCATATGGGTGCAGGTTGAGTCTCAGATGCTCCATTTCTGATCCAGCTCTCTGTTATGTCCTGGGAAATCAGTGGAAGATGGCCCAAGTCCTTGGGCCCCTGCACCCATGTAGGAGACCTGGAAGAAGCTCCTGGCTCCTGGCTTCAGATCAGCACAGCTCTGGCCATTGAAGCCAACCTGGGATTGAACCACTGCATGGAAGGCCTCCCTCTCTCTGCCTCTCATTCTCTCTCTGAGTAACTCTGACTTGCAAATAAATAAATAAATCTTTAAGAAAAAAAAAAAAAGAAGACTTGGACTACGTCTCTCCATTCTCTCCTACCCTGTAGGGTTTCATGAGAAATCATCTGCCAGTCTAATTGTACATCTTTTGAAGGTAATCTGGCATGTTTTGTACACACTTTAGGATCTTAATGTTTTACTTTTGAAGGTTTGACTATAATGTGTCTTAGTAACATCTTTTATGATCCTGTCAGGAGTTTTATGTGCTTCGTGTAATTGCTGTCAATATTTTTTTTCCAAATTAGGGACATTTTCTGCTATTATTTCACTGAATAGTTTTTATAGTCCATTCTCTGTTCCCATATCTTCACGAAGCCCTCAGAATCTATGTTAGGTCATTTGATAGTGTCCCATAATTCTCATATACTATTTTCAATGTTTCTATTTTGTCTTAGATATTTCAAAAAATTTGTCTTCTATTTCTTTCTTCTGCCCTATAAAATATGTTGTTAAGGGTTTCTACTGTATTTTTATTTGACATATTGAATTCTCATTTCTAATAATTCAGTTTGATTTCCTGTCAACCTCTCTATCTTCTGACAAAGTTTTTCAGCTATGTCATGTATGAATGCCTTTAACTCATGCATTTCCTTCTCTGTGTTTTTGAGTAATCTTATGGCCAATTTTTGAATTCTTTTTCAGGCAATTTATCAATCCTTTGTCTTCAGATTTTATGACTGATGCATTGTGGTATTCCTTATGAGGAGTCAGATTGTCTTCCTTGTTCATGTTTCTTGTATTTCTACATTTATCTGTAGGCATTTGTGGAAACACTTATTGGTTTTCTACTCTGCTGGCTTTTATCTTTGAAATATGCTCTGTGGTTTAGTGTGGTGTCTTTTCCTTGAGTGGGTATCCAGAGGCATGTGCTGGGTGGCACCTTAGAGTTCCAGTCAGTGCTCAATTGTAGGGCAGGAATCCAGGATGATAGCCAAGCTGGGTATGGTAGATCTCCTCTATTTTTTGAAGGGAGTAGAGTATGATCATATCACCTGACATGATCATAGCTTCAACTCATCTTTACCAAGATGATCAATGCCCAAGATGAGCCAATACTAGATACACAACCCCACCCCATAGGTGCATGGACCACACCAAGTATCTGTGATGTCCTCAGTATAAGCCTGCGGCCCTGTGCAGTGACCCACCCCAAACATTCAGGCAACTATGAGCCTCTGAATCCAGACACACTGATTGCCCAGAGACTCAGCTAACCTCATACCTTACCATACAGTCACAGAGTTCCCCCACTCATAGAGCACAGGGCTCCTATGGTTATGGGGAACAGTGGCTTCACTGAGCCTTATGATCCTGCCCCATTCACATAGAGAGCAAAGGCATTTCCATAACCACTGATTTTCAGTGCTGCATCTTGGAAGTTTATATCTGGGTGCCCATGATAGAGTGAAGCAAGGGGAATACCTCCTAGGTTGCCTGCCCTCTGCCAATCCACCAGGCCAGACTCAAAGTCAATGGGAACCTTGGATTTATCTCTGTGATAAAATTATTTGGTCACATGCATCTGAGCTGCTGCAGCCTCTACTCACCTTATTAAGGTAGCACACACCCTCCCCCCAACTAGTTGCAAGGCACCCTTGTTCTGAAATGAGAAGAGGGCAGTATGCTCTCCTTTAATGGGATAAGGTGGGAACTTATATACTCTCCACAAGAATTACAAACCCAAACCCAAGTCAGTGTGTCCACAAAGTTCTCAATCAGGCAATATCACCAGTGACATGGGTTGGCACAGACTTTTCTCACCTTGTCCCAAGAAGATGGCTTCTCCTCCAGCCTCTAACTTGTGGAAGTTGGCGGTGGTGTCACTGCTCACTGCTCCATGTTTGTAGTGCCCACACTACTTCATAGAGACTCCCTTCTTTCTGTAGAATTTCCACTGAAAACTCTCCATCACAGCCCTGGAATATAATTATTTTGCTTCACTTCTGTTATCCTGTGGTCAAACTAAACACATCTTTTCCTTATTCACCTATCTTGGAACTCCATTCTGCTGTATTAACCTCAGAAATGATCTCAAATGGATTACACAAGAAAATATTCTATGAATGAGTCCCAAATTTTCGTCAGGCACTCTTATTGCTAAGTATTACTTACCTCACTGAATTTTCACTAACACTCTGAGACAAGTTGTCTTTGTCCTATGATCACTGATGCAGAAGGTAGATATTGGAAAGAGATATTATAGAAGCACCCAGGATGTCAGTGACAGAACTGAAATTTGAATACAGGTATACCTGATGTTGAAGTCTAGATTCTTACCAATAATATGTAGTTCATGTGTTTAATGGTCTTTTACTTTTATTCTGGTGCACTTTGAATAATTCCAAAGCGATTGTCTACCCACTACCTATATATTATCTCACTGAATCCTCTAAACACTGAAGTAAAGTCCAATTGTTGAGTGAACAGGATAAATCTATATAAGTCAATTATTTGTTTAAAGTGAAGTATTCACATGATAAAGAACATAGATATTCAGAAAATAACATAAATATTTAAAGTGAATTAATTGATGAAAGATCCATGGGGATGATGTTTAGGTTTTGCATTTTATATACAATTTTAAAATATTTATTCTATTTTATTTAAAAGGCAGAGTTACAGCCAGTGAGGAAGATACACATACACACACACAAAAGCAAACACACACACACACACACACACACACACATCTTCCACCTGCTGGTTCATTCCCCAAATGTCTGCAATAGCAGTGGAGCAGCAGGGATTCAAATCTGTGCCCATGTGCATTGTCAGCACTGCAGATGGTGGCTTAACCCATTGTGCCACAATCCTAGCTCTTATAAGCAATTTAAAAAGGAATTATTGTTATATGCCTATCTATAAAGCAGCTACTGTTAGAATGGTATTTTAATATTTCATTTTAACATAAGAGTAACATAAACATATTAGTGGAGAATTGGAAAATAGAAAAGACAACAGGAACCACATATAATTTCTCTACTTGAGTTCATGTAAGGTACTCATTTGGATATAGGATCAAAAGCAAGTTTACACACATTTTTAAGACATATTATCTTGGCCGGTGCTGTGGCTCAATAGGCTAATCCTCCGCCTTGCAGCACCAGCACACTGAGTTCTAGTCCTGGTCGGGGCACCAGATTCTGTCCCGGTTGCCCCTCTTCCAGGCCAGCTCTCTGCTATGGCCCGGGAGTGCAGTGGAGGATGGCCCAAGTCCTTGGGCCCTGCACCCGCATGGGAGACCAGGAAAAGCACCTGGCTCCTGGCTCTGGATCAGCGCGATGCGCTGGCCACGGCGGCCATTGGAGGGTGAACCAATGGCAAAGGAAGACCTTTCTCTCTGTCTCTCTCACTGTCCACTCTGCCTGTCAAAAAAAAGATATTTTATCTCACTTTCCTTTAAAAAACATGAATTTTACTTTATTTCCTTTAGCAGATATACAAATAAAGTTGTATAGAAGCTGATAATCTATTCAAAGTTGCACTTGTAGAAGCTGTAGAACTACTAACAGGATAAAAATATCCCATGTCTTCAGAGAATATATGTTTTCCATTGTACTTTTATGTTGGCTACATATATCATCTGTGAAATTTTTATAAGAACTCTAAGTTTCCTAAACATACACATATCTGGTATTTCAAAGAGTGACTTAGATACTCAATAAGTGACACGTTTAAACAGAGGGGGAATGAGATTGGCAATGGTTATGATGAAATTTCATATCTAAAACCACTTAAAAGATTTTCTAGTGATATAATGTACACCCTCAAATTAAAATTTATGGGCCGGCACCATGGATCACCAGGCTAATCCTCTGGCTGTGGCACCGGTACAGTTTATGGATTACAATTACTTTCTCCTCCCCATAATTACCCTCCCACTCGCACCACTCCCATCTCCTGCTCCCTCTCCCATTCCGTTCACATCAAGATTCATTTTCAATTATCTTTATACACAGAAGGAGATCAATTTAGTATAAAGATTTCATCAGTTTGCACCTACACAGAACATAAAGAGTAAAATGCTGTTTCAGTACTAGTTATAACATTACTTCACATTGGACAACACTTTAAGGGAATATCCCACATGAGAAGTAAGTGCACAGTGACTCCCGTTGTTGACTTAACAATTTGACACTCTTGTTTATGGCGTCAGTAATCTCTCCAGGCTCTAGTCATGAGTTGCCAAGGCTATGGAAGCCTTTTGAGGTCGCCGACTTCGATCTTTTTCTGACAGGGTCATAGTCAAAGTGGAAGTTCTCTCCTCCCTTCAGAGAAAGGTACCTCCTTCTTTGATGGTCCCATTCTTCCCACTGGGATCTCACTCTCAGAGATCTTTCATTTAGGTCTTCTTTTTTTTCCCCACATTGTCTTGGCTTTCCATGCCTAAAATACTCTTATGGGCTCTTCAGCCAGATCTGAATGCCTTAAGGGCTGATTCTGAGGCCAGAGTGCTGTTTAGGACATCTGCCATTCTATGGATCTGCTGTTTATCCCGCTTCCCATGATGAATCCTTCTCTCCCTTTTTGATTCTGTCAGTTAGTATTAGCAGACACTAGTGTTGTTTGTGTGAACCCTTTGACTCTTAAACCTATCAGTGTGATCAGTTCTGAACTGAAATTGATCACTTGGACTAGTGAGATGGCATTGGTACATGCCACCTTGATGGGATTGAATTGGAATCCCCTGGCACGTTTCTAGCTCCACCATTTGGGGCAAGTCCGACTAGCATGTCCCACATTGTACATCTCCTCCCTCTCTTATTCCCACTCTTATATTTAACAGGATCACTTTTCAGTTAAAATTTAAACACCTAAGAATAATTGTGTGTTAATTACAGAATTCTAGCAATAGTATTACAACAAAAAAAATACTAAAATGGATAAAGTGTTACATTGTACATCAACAGTCAGGACAAGAGCTGATCAAGTCATTGTTTCTCATACTGTCCATTTCACTTCAACAGGTTTCCCCTTTGGTACTCATTTAGTTGTTGCCAATCAGGGAGAACATATGATATTTGTCCCTTTGGGACTGGCTTAATTCACTCAGCATAATGTTTTCCAGATTCCTCCATCTTGTTGCAAATGACCGGATTTCGTTGTTTTTGACTGCTGTATAGTATTCTGTAGAGTACATGTCCCATAATTTCTTTATCCAGTCTACTGTTGATGGGCATTTGGGTTGGTTCCAGGTCTTAGCTATTGTGAATTGAGCTGCAATAAACATTAATGTGCAGACAGCTTGTTTGTTTGCCAATTTTATTTCCTTTGGGTAAATTCCAAGGAGAGGTATGGCTGGGTTGAATGGTAGGGTTATCTTCAGGTTTCTGAGGAATCTCCAGACTGACTTCCATAGTGGCTTAAGACATAGAGCAGGCACCATTTTGGACATACATCATAAGCAGCGTGACCTCAGGGCTGCACCCACCCACAGCCAAGCAGAAAAACCTGACTCTGGAGGGGGGTGAAATAACAGGAGATTAGGACCTAGTGAATGTGTGCTGCTAATGAACTGAGACTGTGAAAAAAGAGACGGTGGGTGAGAGAACTCAGGGAGTTCATGTGAGTACTCTCTAGAGATGCTACAATTCGGTAACCTTGGCAACCCAGTGGGAGACTGCAGGAGAATTTGAGCCCACACTGAGGGCAGAACAGATTCCCTGTGTGGTCCTTGGGAAAGAGCTTCCGATCTCTGGCTCCTGTGGGTATATCATTTGCCTGCCAACTACCTCCAATTCTGCTCAGCTGTGTAGAATTACTTCCCTTTTGAATCAAAAAAAGAAAGAAAGAGAGAGAGAGATTTACAATGCCTAACCTGGGAGTGTCAACTTTGGCACACCCTTAACCCTGAGGAACTAGAGCTCTCATGCCACACCCATATCAATGCCTCCAAGGCTCCATCAGAAGCAGACAGTCCACTTAATACAGTCATAGCAAAACAAGAAAAAACACCACAGTGAGGGAAGAAGAATCTAAAGAATATCTCCACAATGCCAAGAAACAAATGCAGAAACCAAGGAAACAAGAACAAGGAAGACATTATGACACCCCCAAATGAACTAGACACCCTAAGCCATGATTAAAAAGAGGATGAGATGGAAGAAATGAAAGATATAGATTTCAAAAAACTTATAAGAACAATTAGAAGTTTTCAAAAACAAATGCTTGAGCTACGGAAATCTTACTGGACAGGATAGAAAATCACTGTCATGAAAATGAAATCTTAAGGAGGAATCAAAAATGAAATGCAAAAACTAGTAGAACAGGAAAGTGTGATAGTGAAGAGAAATCAAAATGAAATGAAGAACTCAATAGATCAAATGACAAACGCATTAGAGAGCCTTAAAAACAGAGTCAGTGAAACAGAAGAGAGAATATCGGACTTAGAAGACAGAGAACAGGAAAATATACAGTCAAACCAAAGAAAGAAGAGGAAATTAGAAATTTAAAAAATATTGTTGGGAATCTACGGGATACTATTAAAAAACCCAACATTCGGGTTGTAGGAGTTCCTGAAGGCATGGAGAGAGAGAAAGGATTAGAGGCCATTTTAGTGAGATACTTGCAGAGAACTTCCCAGGTTTGGAGAGAACAGAGACATCTTAGTACAGGAAGCTCATAGAACCCCTAGTAAACATGACCAAGAGAGATCCTCACCACGGCACGTTGTAATCAAACTCACCACAGTGAAACATAAAAAAAGATTCTAAAATGTGCAAGAGAGAAACATCAGATTACTCTAAGAGATTCTCCAATTAGACTCACAGCAGACTTCTCAGACCCTACAGGCTAGAAGGGAATGCTGAGACATAGCACAGGTGCTAAGAGAGAAAAACTGCCAGCCTGCAAAAGCTGCAAAGCTCTCATTTGTGAATAAAGGTGAAATAAAGACCTTTTATAGCAAACAGAAATT